AACTGCTGGCACATAGGTTAAGTTTCCAGTAATGGCTGGAAGGCCATTTTTATTTTGGTTATAGGTAGGAGTCAAATTTCTACAAAGAATAGGACTTAAAAGACTGAATGATCTACCATTTTAGAAGGCCTTTAGGATTCATTCACAGAAGGTTACATACACACACACACACACACACACACACACTAATAACTCAATATACTGGGGCTGCACTTTAAGTGGCAAAACCAGAGTTTTGTGCCACAAAACCATGGTCTCTCTGCCGAGGTTTCAACCAAAACACTGGATGATCTTAATTCAAATTAGCCATGGGCAATAGTCGTTTTAAGCTGAAAACCCATTGAAAACATCAGTTTCAAAGTTTGGAAACTCTCCGGATATAAAATGAAACAGTAATAACTAAGAATTGTCACAACGTACAAGAAGCACCTTCCTTCCCCCTTATAGTTTAAGTTCCAGGTATATTTTCAGTTTAACCTAGCTTCTCTTTTTCATCATCTAACATTCTATTTTGATGTGTAGTGCCCTGGACTTCCTGTTACTACATCTTGATACTCTCCTGCAAATCATGACTCATTGTTAAATCATAGAGAAACTCATCAAAATCGCAAATTTCACAGCACATATGAATTCAGCCTTCTAAGAGGTCAGCATTCTTAGAACATTACTTTGAGCCACAGAGAAAAACACTGAACAAGTCCATGTAAAAATTATGTCAATCCTCTGTTGAGTCAACACATTTATTAGATCAATAAATGCATGCTCTATGTGCAGCAATTTTGGTTTTGGTACTAGTTATGAAAACATGTTACATGATATGTTAAGTAAAAATAAGTGACAAAACAAAGTATAGTGTGACTCCAATGAAAAGTTTTATGTATGTGTGCATGTGTGTGTGTGTGTGTACACACCCACACACACCCCCCCCACACACACACACACATTTTAGAAGACTGAAAAAACATACACCAAAATGTTAACAGTGGGATTATGGGAGATGTTTATATTTTTCTTCGTGGTTTTCTGAATCTTCCTAACATAATACACATTAATATTTTTTCAAAACAGACATAAAACCTACCTAACCTTTAGAAAATACCGTCATGCTAGTGCGATCTCAAAGATGTTATAAATCAGTTTACAAAGACAAAGGGGAATTATGGATAAGTAGGACATAAAAAGCTCTCGCCTGAAACCTACAGAAAAGTCTGACAGCACGTGGGGATCTTTCATTCAAATGACCCAGGCCTCTCGGTGTGTATGTTGGTGTGTATGTCTCAGTGCAAGCCCTTAGCAAGGGGCAGAAGCCAGCTGCCTGCAGCCCAGGACGCAGCCAAAACAGAGAGCCCATTTCTTTTAAAGTTTAATGAGGAACCCCAGGTCTGGGGAACATGTCGATGTCTGAATCATTCTCTAGGACTGGAAAGTAGCAAAGCCATTAATTCATAAGCAGTAATTTGCCATTAGTGAAAAAAAACCCTCTGGAAGTCACATTCTTGGATAATTTTCTTCTTCTTCTTCTTCTTCTTCTTCTTCTTTCTTCTTCTTCTTCTTCTTCTTCTTCTTCTTTTAGTGTTTTGGGTTTGTCAATCGATAATGGTTTGGATCCACATTGGTTTTTTGCATCAGATCGGAGAAAAAACATAATTGGGTAGCATAGAACACACAAAACCCAGTATCTGACAACTAAGAAAGGAATATTTTAATTTATATGCACTGACTGGAAGGATTTTAAAACCCATTTCAGGAAAAGATTCAAGTTCCAAAAAGTTATTACAAATATAAATTTCAAAATATGATCTCAGAGTTACATTTACTGCATACTGACAGTTTTGAATTATTAATTTTTTAAATAAGAAGAGGAGGAGGTCTTTAATAAATGTTTTAGGAAATTTCAAAATTCAAATAGGGTTGGAAAAAAATAAGAATCACTGCTCTCCCCATCTGGGCTACTGCCATTCTGGTCTAAAAAGCATTAGTACCAAGCAAGTGAGGTTCTGAGATGGTCTAATTCAGCTCAAAAAGGTAAACCATCACAATTCATCATGTAAATGTCATTCTATTGCATATTACGGACCAAAAAGAGAGCAAGGGAGACAAAACTCATGCACATTGTGTTACATCCATAGCAGAAAAGTACAACTGACAATTCGTAAACATCCTATTCATTGACTTGATGCAGGTAAGAGAGTCATCATCATCACAGTTAATGTAAATGAGAGTTCCTCAGCGTGGGCACTACTGACATTTGTGGCTGGAAAATTATTGGGGGGGGGGTTGTTCTGTACATTGCTGGATGGGTAGCAGCATGCCTAACCCTCTACTGACTAGATGCCTAGGACACCCTGTCTGGTTATGACAACCAAAATGTCTCCAGATATTGCCAAAGGTCACCTGGGTGGCAAAATTATTCCAGAAAGTCTGTTTATCCAGACTGGTTTATAGTTCACTCAAAGGGGCCTCTCTTGAAATTTGGAGAGAGTTTTCTTATCTATTTGTTCTAAGTGCTATTATCCTACTCACAGCTTTCAATGCAACAATTTATTGAGCATCTACTCTGTGCTAGGCACTGTGTTTGGGACATCCTGTCCTCATGTCCACTGACTCACACCCTGGTTGGGCTGTTTTTAGGACATGCTTTGCCACCAGAAGAGAAATACCAACACCTCAAAAAACCCTCCAGAGTATGTCCTCAAGCAGCATGTCTTTGTCAATAAAGGAATGCCACAGGTCCAATCAAGTTCCTTAAAATCCTTTACCCCTTTAAGCAACTCTACACATTTCCAACATTTAAAGGTTTAGAGAGAGAGAGAGAGAGGGCTATAAGACCTTTGCTATATTTGGCATGGAAAGACCATCAGGGGTTTTTGCAGGCAGGATCATTACTGGAAACTCTAAAAACACTTATGGACAGTCTTCTTCACTGTCTGACCCACAAGCCCTCCTAACACAATTTGTAATTTTATAATCCCCATAAATTGAAACTCATAACTGACCTATCCCAAATAAATGTGTGCCACAGACAGAGAAAAAGGGAGAGAGATCAGAGGGTATTTTGTTTGGCAGTAAAGCAATAAGGCTCAGAAATCGATTTGAGCTCATTAACATATGCCTGGATCACGTTTGGTTTCTCACCTCTTCTGGCTCCCCAACCCCCACCCCCCACTCCCGGGCCCCCTCCAACAAAGACACAGGCACAGATGAGAGAGAATGGGGATGACTGAGCTGCCCGGGCAATAGAAACTTCACACACGGGATCCCTGGGTGGCGCAGCGGTTTGGCGCCTGCCTTTGGCCCAGGGCTTGATCCTGGAGACCCGGGATCAATCCCACGTCCGGCTCCCGGTGCATGGAGCCTGCTTCTCCCTCTGCCTATGTCTCTGCCTCTCTCTCTCTCTCTCTTCTCTCTCTCCATGTGACTATCATAAATAAATAAAAATAAAAAAAAGAAACTTCACACACACACACACACACACACCTCACACCCTACACGCAACTGGGGAAGAAAAACCTGTAAGTCTGAAACCCAAAATGGCCAAAGGGACTTCAAAGTTCTCAAGATGCTGCCCTGAAAAAGGTTGTGGGGCAGCTGCACCTCTAAGTCAATAAAGCCGTAACCGCTCTCCCCGTGCAGCGCAGGGCTCCCCCGGCTGACAGTGGCTGCACAAAACCCCTCCTGTGCCGAGCAGCGGAAACTCCTAATGAGATTAGTTGGTGTGTGTGCAGACATTACTTAGCAGTGACTAAAGGGGCTCTCTCTTCCTGCAGCAGCCAGTGGAAAATTCAGGGAACTTTTTCCCCCTGCAGCAGCAGAATCCCTGTAACCCTCTCCCCAGCCAACTCCAACAACAACTCGGCCTCCCCCAGCCCCCCTCCGGCTGGGGTGCTGGGGGTAGTTAAGGACCGGCCAGGGGCTTCCAAAAGCGGCAGGGGAGGAGGGGGCCGGCGGGGAAGGGGCGGGGGACCCCTCGAACACTACAAAGGAAACTGTAAAAGGCACAAATACATAAACCTGAGAAGGAGCAAACCAGTTTCTTTGTGAGCTCCTCTAGTGAGTCATTTTCAAGATGCTGTCTGCTGCCAGTTTCAAAGCGGAAGCGCATGGCAATTAGTCTTGCCGTTTCCAGACAAGCCAGAAACTCTCCCGACACTCGTTTTTTTTTTTTCTAAAAAGCCCCTTTTGCAGTTTCTGAAATAACATTTCTTACTCCCACCCCCACCCGCCACCTAAATGCAGCTTGTCCTCAGGATGATTCGGCTCAGAAAATATAACAAAACGGAGACCTCTTTCTTTTTCTTTTTTTTTCTTTCTTTCTTTCTTTTTTTTTTTTTTTTTTTTGAAGTCTCCAAAATTTTAATTCCTCCTCCCAAAAGTTACAGTAGCGTTACAGGCCAACATCCAGTTGCAAGCTGAAGCTCCCCTTCCTAAGGAGCCGGGGGCTCCAAGCCCATCTCTCCCGCGCGGTCCTCCGCCGAAACCGTGTCCAGTGAGGACACGGCTGGTTGTTAAAGGTCCACCTGGGCGCGCGCCCCGGACGATGACCCGGGCGGGGGTCACCTGCCGGACCACCAGGGACGCGGCCCCCGGCCCCGCGTCTTCGCTCCCCACGCCCGCTGCGAGCCCCTCCTCCCCTGCCGTCTCCCCGGGTCGGAGCATCGGTGCCCACTGCCCCCCCGGGGAGCCCCGGCCGCAGCCCGCTCGGCGGCCGTCCCCCCCAGGCACGCAGCCCGCCCCGCCGCCGCCGCTGCGGGGACCCCGAGCCGCCCCGCGCCGTCGCCCCCGCGCGCCCCCTGCTCCCCTCCCGGCCGCAGCGCGGGGCTCCCGCGGGCCGGCGGGGCGGGCGCTGGAGCATCCCGGGGGCCCCCCGCCCGGGGCCGCAGCGCACCCCGCGGCGCCCCCAGCCCCACCCCCACCCGCACCCAGCCAAAGAAAAGAAAGAAAAAGCACCCCGACGGAACTTTGCAACTGTCGGAGCAACAGGCTGAAGCCCTGCTACCTACCCAGATGTGGGGGAGCTCTCAAGATCCTTCTTCGGGGGAATTTCTAGGAGGAACCGGGCGAAAGCCCCCGACTTTCCATGCTGACAGGCGTCTGCAGACGGTCTGTTGCTCTTGTAACGAGATCCTGATTTTTCCCCCTTTTTTTTTCTTTCTCTCGCTCCTCTTTTTTTTTTTTTTCCTCTGGTGTGTGTGTGAGAGCAGGAAGTTGGAGCAGTCAGGCCGAGCCGGCTCACTTCCTTTACTGCATTATTCCCCAGGCGGTGTGCAGTCTGTGTAAACAGGCTTTTCCGCCCCGCGCCGCGCGCCCCGGCCGCGGCTGTGCGCCGGGACTGGCCGCCGAGGCCCGCGCATACTCCGCCGCCCGCGCCCCGCGCGCTCGCCCCGCCGCGCGCCCCGCTTCCTGCTCGGCCACCCCAGGGGAGGAGCCTCCCGACCCTCTGCGGCTCCGGGCGGCCGCAGCCCCTCCCCGAGGCGTGGGGACTGCTCGGCCAGAAGCCCCGAGAAGCGGGCCTCCTCCCCCCCACCCCCGGGGCGCGGGTGGGGACCCCGGGCGGCGGCGGCGGCGGACCCGGGGTCCCTCTGGACCCTGGGGGTCCCGGCGCCGGGCACCGCGGTGGGGTCGTGCCTTTGCCCAGTTTGGCCCGGGCGGGAAGGCCCGAAGCGGGGAGGCCGCCGGACTTGCCGCTTTTCCTGATGCTGGGTTGGCCGGACTGCGGGGCAGTGGGGCGCGGGGAGTGGGGCCCGGGGGAGGCGGCTCCAGGCAAAGGGCTGCTTTTAGCGCGGATGGGGACGTGGTTGCTTAGGGCGAGAGGCTGGCTGTGCAGAGAAGGAGGCACGGGCTCTGTCTGGGGATGGACACAGTTCCTGTCTGGGATTTTAAAAAAAGAGAGAGAGAGAAAAAAAAAAAAGCCAGAGCCCAAGTAGGGGGCCCACTTGGGGGAAAAGAATGAGGAGCCTTAAGCGGGAAGCCGGGACTCGCCGGGAAGAGACCTCTCGGGCGGCTCGCTCTGGCCTACCAGGGCCCGACCTCTGCTGCGGGCCGGGGAGCCCCGGGGGGACGCGGGCAGCCGCCGTGGGCCGAACCAGGGAGGCTCCAGGGGGAGGCCGGGGTCGCGGGGCAGGACCTGACGCCGCAGCGTCCCCGGGGGCGCCCCCCGCCCCCCCCCGGAGCTCTGGGGCCAGGCTGTCGCTGGAGCCCTTCCTCCCCTTGCCCCGCGGCGAGGGGGCCTGCATCGCAACCCCAGCTGCTCGCCCCGCGGAGCCCGCCGCCCCGGTGCCTCCGCGCGTCGCCTGGAGGACCAGCGGCTCCCCAACTGGCGTGTGCGCCAGCCTCCCGCGGGGCTTGTGGAAGAACTGGCTGCCCCGGCCTCACCTGCCCGAGCACCTGAGGCGGCAGATCTGGGGCTGCTCTCGGGCCCGGTTTACAGTTCGAACCAGCTGGGGAGCGTTTTGAGGACTACTGGCCTCTACACACGACCCACGCTGATCAATCAGATTCCCTGCGGGGACGCTACGCGCTCCCCCACTTTGCTGCTCATTTCTGCCATCTTTTCTAAAGATGACTTGCTTAGGAGTCTCTCCCGTCTACCGGCTGTGGGGCTGCTGAAGGCCAGGCACCGTCTTTCCCTCAAGCTTGTACCGGCGGCTCTCCACCCCTAAGTGCCCATCAGGGCACCTGAGTCCCTTCAGAGCATTGGCTTCCTGGCTGGTGCGGATGGTTGGCGGAGAGGGCCCGAGGCGGGGAGAACGTGAGGCAGGAGCCGCGGGGGCAGGATAGGAGAGCGGAGGAGGAGGACAAGGTATGGGGAAGAGAACTACTTATCAACCCCTGATTTTCTGCAGCTAACTTTCCACTTTAGGGATTATCATTGTAATCCCTCGCTGGTTCCCTTGTCACTCGAGTTGGCTCACTCCGTGTCCCCGTGTGATCCAGTTATCCGTGGACCGAAGGGGGGGGGAGGGGAATATAATATAGCCTTGGGGGGGGGGTAAAAAAAAAATCCCGCACTCACAATTAAGAACAACACCTTTCTGCTTTGTTTTAAAAAGTGCATGCCAAAACCCAACACAAGCCTATTTTAAACCAGGGGCTTTCATGATTTTCCGTGTATTTTTTTCCACAATAAATCTCTGTCGAATCCTAATCTGTATGAGAGAAAAGGTGTACATGTTTTCATCAGGCAGTTTGATTGTTTTGAGGAAACACTTCCTGTTGAAGGCACTCCTGAAATATTTATGGGCAGCCCTAGGGCTTCTCTGGCCAAGTGAAGGCCTCTTAAGTTTTCCTGGTGTTTCAGATCGTCCACACCACTCCTCCCAGCTCTCCGTGTGAATGAGTAATTCAGGGCTGACTCTGCTCTTCCTCTAGGCACAGGGAATAACTTTTACTTTTCGGTGTCTCCAGCTTCTGCCCTTTGCAATCTAAGGGAAAACCGCAGTCTTAGCTTGGACTGCTAAGACATATGCCAGAGACCTGATGGCTTAAGAAACAGACCTTCATTTCTCACAGTTCTGGGGGATGGGAAGTCCAAGACCACGGTGCCAGCAGATGCGGTGCTTGGTGAGAGCCCTCTTCCCAGCATGGTCCCCTCTTGCTGTGTTCCGCCATGGCCTTTTCTCAGTACCTGCATGTGGGGAGAGAGAGAGGAAGCAAACCCTCTGGTGTCTCTTCTCCTAAGAACACTAATCCCACATGGGAGCTCCAGCCTCATGACTTCATCTAAACCCAATGACCTCCCAAAGCCCCAGGCTCCTAATACCATCACATTGGAGGTCAGGGCTTCAGTGTTCCATTTTCGGGAGACACGAACTTTAAGTCCATAACAATTGCTGTTTGTTTTCATGCTTTCCATGCTTTCCTGCCCACTATCAACAAGTAGCCAAGCGGTGTGGCATTTAGTGTTACACGACCCACCCTCTTCTTGTAAAACAAACAGGAGTTAACACTATATATAGGTTAGGAGTAAGATTTCTTTAGGAGCCCTTTTGAGCAAGTAACAAGGCCCAGGGTCATTCATTCCCACTGGCCAAGAGAGTATCAGGCTCTCTCAGCTTTGATAAGAAGAGCTGAGATCTCAACAGAGATGGCAGTGAGCAGTGTGATATGTTGGAGGGCCAGTGAGGAGGGCCAGCCCAACCAAACCCTACGGATAAAAAGTAGAAGAGGGCTGGGTCTCCAGAAGAAAACAGAAGCCCTGGTTCCAGGAGAAGGGATGTATTAGTCAGCTTTTGCTGGGATAATGCAATGTAACAAACAACCCCAAGACTCAGTGACAGCAAACGGGTCTAGGTTAGCTGGATTCTGGTCTGTTTCACACATTTTCATTCTGGAACCTGGGCTAAAGGAATAGATTCTACTGGAGATGTATGGTTCTCTAGGAAGGCAGGAGCTCAAGAGAGGTGCATGAAGACACACGAGGCCTCTTAAAACCTCTGGTTAGGACTCTCACACCCTCACTTTGACTTACAATCCATTGGGGGGCAAGCAAGTTATATGGCCAAGTCTAAAGTCAGTGGGACTAGGAGAAGGGCAGGGTGGGAGAGAATTCTGAACAAATAATACAGTCTACCACAAGAAAAAATGGATGCCGGATGTACAAAAAGAGCAAATCTGTCAGGTCCTTCATAATTTAACATTTCACAATGTATAACAGAATGGGATGCTATGAAAAGTTTTAAAAAATACAGATGGATGAGAAAGCATAATTAGGGCAAGAGGTAAAAAATGAGTTTTAGAAAATATCATCTAAAATATTCTAGGATAGGGACACCTGGTGGCTCAGCGGTTGGGTGGTTGCCTTTGGCTCAGGTCGTGATCCCGGGATCCGGGATCGAGTCCCACATCGGGCTCCCTGTGGGGAGCCTGCTTCTCCCTCTGCCTGTGTTTCTGCCTCTCTCTCTCATGAATAAAATCTTTTTAAAAAATAAAATATTCTAGAATATAGCAGAACAAATCATATATAAAACTTATGAATCGATGGTATTAAACATGAATTGATAAATTTTGGAAAAAACTCAACAGTGGTTTGCCAACACTACTTTGAAGCCTGTGTCAATTATGGAGGAATATGGCTAGGAGCCAGGAACGGAGAGCCAAAGCCTGATGGGAAGGCAGCTCACTCAGGTGGAAAGTATACATTTGGAATCAGGAATTTTGGGATCCAGTCCCATACCTGACTTGTTCTAGCTATGTGACTTGACTAAGACTCTCACCTTCTTTGAACTTACATGAGCATCAGTTTTTACTGATTTTTACAGTAAATGCCAATTTTCCATTAAAACAATATGTGTTATAGACTAAGATTCAAAGATTTTCATGAACTTCATTTGAAAAAGTACTTAAAAGAATTTTATAGATGTGTAGGCAGGACCTCTGTGGCCTGCATTCCTCCTTTTGTGTCCTTAGAGGTTTTCAGTAGAGACATTTGAGAAGTATTGATTTGGACCATCTTTTTGCATTCGGACTGGCCACCCATTGGCAAGAGGTTGGCAAGTTATAGCCCATAGGGTCTGCTGCCTATTTCTGTAGGACTTTCAAGTGAAGAAGAATTGACTTCTGTTAAAAGTTTTAATTGTGGTAAAAAAAAAAAACACATAAAACTTACCATCTTAATCTTTTTTTTTTTCCTTCTGAAGTGGTACATGCAACTCCCACTAATATTTCACTGCTCAAAGAGAGTCATCTGGCCAAGTGTAACATCAATGGGATGGATAATGCTTCTACGGGGAGAGCATGGTGAGGAGGAGCTCGTGGGAAAGGATGATGAATGTTTTTACGTTAATATAACCTACCCAATAATTATTCAAAGCTATGAGTTTTTATTCAATCACCCTTCCACTGTCACAAGTGTTCAAAGCTTTCTCCACTCCTTCTGACTCCAAGACTTCTAATCCCATACTTTTCCTATTGATGACTTTGCAAATCATTTCACTGAAAAAAAAAATAAAAACAATCAGAAGAGAAGTCCCAAGTGATCCCCCCTGCCTGCCCACCTACATTTGTAGCCATATATTTACCTCCCCTTGTAGCCATAGACGTTAACTTTCCATACTCCCACTTAGGGCTGACCTCTTCATTTGTCTACTACATTGTATTGCCTCTACCTACTCAAATTCATGGTCCCAGCTATTCTTTTCTCACTCAGTCAGTTTCTACTCT